GGACTACCTATGATGTCAATTACAGACCTCTCTCATCTTTTTAAGTGGGAGAACTTGCACAATTGGTGACTGACTAAATACTTATTTTCCCCACTGTACATGTAAGTGCTATGATTTATTTTATATTGCATGGAATTCGTGTCCAGCGCCACCGAGCTATGATCCGCGTAGCCGTCCTTCACGGGCTGCTCGGGGTTCGGCTTTCCCCGGCACAACCCGTTTTTACTCCGGTCTCCTTCTTCGGAGAAGGTTGATCGTGGTTTAGCTAGCATATATTTTTCCCGCGAGTGTCCCTGCGGTACGGTATTATGCTAAGCTAAGGCGCCGGACATCTTGGTGCCTCCACGGAGTCCCCGTTTTTCATAGCCGCTACTAACTCACTCGTTACACRGATGTGGTAGCTAGTAGTTAAGGCTTTCAGACATCGACATTTCCAGCCAGGACTGGACTGGAAGCTTTTTCTGATTTTTCGGACCATGCGCTTCTCATCTTCGGCATGGTCTGAGTTATCTTCTTCCGGGGACAGAGGCCCAGGCTAGCGGAGTTTCCCGCCGGAGATCACGGCGGCAAACTAGCTAAGTCGGTTAGCCACCTAGCTAAGCTAAGCAGTGCTCTACATCTCAGCGTTTGGTGCCGAAATTGGACCCTGCTTTTCAGTGGAGAAGCTGGGATCAGTGTGCTGCCGCTTGGTGTAGCTCCTAGCCATGGACGTGCTATGTAGCTTGACCAGAGCAGTTGCAGACTGCTGCTAGCTGGTTTGTAACACAAAATGTGTTGGCTGCTATTGGCTTGCTCGCAACACGGAGGTGTTAGCTAGCTGGATTAAGCCATTCAGTGGTCGGTGCTCCCAGCCTGGACTGGACTGGGAGCTCATCCAGACCGTTTGGACAAGACGGGTTTTGCCCCTTGCATGGAGATGCTAGCTACAATGCTAGGAGTTGCTTACTCCAAGCTGAGAGCCCCGGTTTCGTTCCATGCGGACGTGACAAAGTGGAGGGGGTGACCGTCTTCGGTTCCTGCCGGTCCCAGTACTGGAATCTTCGTCCTCCATGGTCTCCGTCGCTGAGGCGGAAAGGTCTGCCGGAGGGCGACCTTTTCTCTCACAAGCAGTACACCAGCAGCTTGGCAGCTGGGCCGACCGGTCCCGTCATTGTGCGGCACAGTCGGGTGCTGCAACCAACAACATCACTCTCCAGTCCGTCAATTTTTCAAAACAAACACGCGACGGGACCTCAGCACAGAGGCCAGCACGAGTTTGAATCTCTTCGCTGTTCAGGCTGGGTGTGTGTCCTGCATTGTGTTTTGGAAGCAGGAGAAATGTGTATGGGCAAGGCTAGGTCCGCTAGTTCTGAAACTAGCCGGCCTCTGGTCCTTGCTAAACACAGTTTGAATCCCTNTTTCCTCTCCCTCATTCCCGCAGCTTCACGGTGCTTTAAACAGTCGGACGCTGAGAGTCCACAGACTTCAATAGTAAAGCAAAAAAAAATGCAGCGAAACGAGACGAGTCATTGGATAAATGCTGGGCTTTGTCCCACCCCCAGATGCTGAGCATCTCTGGGGGTCTATGGAGCAGTGGGCAGGTTCGGACACCCAGATTCTGCGTGATGATTGGATGATCTGTCTGAGCCTGAATCCCTTTTTGATTGACAGCGAAATGAGCGAATCAGAGATCTTTTGGTGTAAACATTCCATGGGAGCAGTTTTTAGTTTCGTTTCTGTTCCGAGGTGAACCGGAGACTTTCTTAATCCTCTTAGCGACATTTTCTTTGTTAAAAACGACTAGCAACAAATCAAGTTTTTATTTCTGGTGGGTTTTATTGTATCTGCTTGTGTTTGGAGACDGAYTTCTATCACTCTTTCTGACGTCTATCACAGTTTCTGTCCAGCGGGTGCTGCTGAGCCCCTCCACCGTCACAAAGCACTCACAGGCGGACACACTTCACTCTAGCCTCGCGCCAGTCCCAGCTAGCGAGCTACACATAATGGCAGAGAGTTTGAATGTTGTGGACCGGATTTTGGTGAAGCCATTTGATACAGTCTTGTTAACAAAGAAAAAATTACAGAGTTAAACAGCAAGGCTGATCAACTCCTCAGATTAATTTGGTGCACAGTGGGGAAATAACAGGTCTTTTCAGCTGTCCTGGTATGAGAGCTGGCTGCTGTAAAGGACTATAGAATAATCTGGAAAATGATTATAAAAGCATTGGATCAATTAATTCATTTAAAAAATCATCAAAGCAAAATTGTCAAAGAAATATAAAATTGTTTAATTTGTATTTGTGAGTCACTGTTTGAGGAGTTGAATTTTTTGTTTTGTTTTATTATTTGGTTTATTGTTTGAAATTAATATTTTTTGTAAATAGGAGCAGATA